CTAGAGAGTACACCATCAAATGAAATATGCTTTCTTTTTAAGTTATCTCAACTCGAATTTTGTTCAACTACTTTTCTTTTTCTTACTATTTTTCTTTTTTTTTTCTTTTTTTTTTCCTCTTTTTTTTTCTTCATAAATTGCATCTTAAATTGTCTATTATTTATGCTCATTTTAGTTAGTAATTTTTTACGATAATGTGTAGTTGAGTGGGCTAGGCACACATATTTTTTTATGGCTCAGTGTCAACACAGTAGTTTTCTTTTACTTATTTTTTTCAATTTTTGAAAACGTATTATAAATAAAAAAAGTTGAAAAAAATTAAAAACCAACTGAAATAGTTGAATTAATGAAAAACTAGTACAACACCCGTGTATTACACGGGTGCTTGTTAAAAAATTATTCTTAAATTTTAAAATTAATGAAAAAAACTATATTAAATTTAGTTTACTTTTTTACAAAAAAAATATATTACTATATATTTTAGAATGATATGTTACTTATGACTTACATGTGTTATATTATATTAGTTTTTATAACTTATATCATATAACTACTTGAAATATAAATATATTAGTTGATAATTAATTTTATTTTTCTAATTAATATTAAAAATAATTTTATTATTGTTATAAAGATAAATATAAATTATTTCTTTTTATACATACAATATGGATGTTAAATCGAAGCTCATCAAAAGAAGATTAATTTGATATATTACATATGTAAAACAGATAAAAAATACAAAAGTTATTAACTTGTAAAATATATATACAATTCAATAGTTATAATAAGGAATGATATTAAAATACAATTAATACATGCAACATGAACATAAATAATCAACATATTTATGGTAATCCGAACCTAATTATTTTTGGTTTGGAATTAAATTAAAATTTAACCCAAGCCTAATAACGAAGCATGTAATTTTGCCACATAGAATTCCGAAGCACCAGAAGTAGCCACGTAGGCTCAGCGCGTTCTGTATTAATATATAGGGGATGCTATGGTCTGGTTACCGTCCCGTCCGGTCGGGTGTTTTAACCGAAATCATCTACTTTATATGAACTACATGTGTATCCAACGAGTAAAAACACTTGACGAGATGATACCGCAACAAGACGTAATATTTTCCTAAATTATAATCTGAGTTTCTTGAAAACAAAAGTTTGTCTTTTATTTATCAACAACTATAGTATACGATACTAAACATGCTCTCGTTGACGATTGTGCTTCTCCGTTAAGCTAATTTTCAAAAAGGCAAAAAGGAAACAAATTTGATAAAGGCTGTCGAATTGTCACTGTCTTTTTATATCATTTATTATTTCCGTCGTTGAAGAATTTTCCCGTCTATAAATATCGCCTCAGCCGACAACTACACTCTCATCCCATCATCAGAATCACTTCTGATTTTCGAGCGTCTTGTGACCAATTGTACAAATTTTCAGTCACCATGTCTCAGGTTAGTTCTTTTCTATGTTAGGAAATATTTTATTTCCTATGTATAATCTAATTATGGGCAACATATTATATACAATTATATTATATTAGCTATTCAATTAATTAATGGACTCAATTAAGTGATCTAAATTAAGTAGAGTTCATGGGCTACATAAATTGATATGGACTTAATGAGTGGATACCTAATATTACTAGGGCTAGGTGATAATGGGTGGCCTACCCTATTAGTATATATAGACTCTCTTGGTTATGGTCCCCAACACACTAAATCAAACATAGTTCTCTTTTCTCCCCATCGGAATCGAGAACGACGGTCCCATATGAGGAATAAGGCGATTTAGTTGAGGAAGGCCATAAAACCGACCTTGTTCATGATCGAGGACGTGTTCGTGATCCAGACCATGTTCATGTCAACATTCATAGATATGAGATCCGGAGATTGATGATAAGGTATTCCGCATCTAGACACAATCTCAATGGATCAGGTATTCTTTATAATCCTTATGATCTACAATCTAGCGCGATGTTGATTTTCTTAGAATTAAAGCATGTTCGAAGATAATTGTTATTGAATTTATATTATGTGATTATAAATTCCTACATTCTATTCCTATTCTGTAAATTTTATGTAAACAATTGGTGATATTGAGCAAATATGATGTAAGAACAGATTAATTGGACTTATTAGTAGGTTTCATATACAGATATGTTAGATCCGAGGTTTGTTCTCACATAGGTTGTTGGATTTGTCCCATGAGAAGTTGTTTTCTAATTAAGTTTTGATGCTCCTAGACTGTTGAACTGAAGGTGGCCATGTCCTGCCAAGGCTGCGTGGGTGCCGTGAAGAGGGTTCTTGCGAAAATGGAAGGTTTGTCGCCTTTTTTTCGTTTGTGTAAATTTGGAATTTAAATATTTTGATGCAATTTATGTATTTATTATTTCTCCAATTTTTAAAATTAACAAAATATGGCATTCTCGTTATCGAATTCCGTTGATTGTTGATTGCTCAAACGGAGAGATGAGATTCTTGTTGTGAGGTGGGATTGTTTTGCTATAATCAAGCGTCGGTTGGACTCCGCATAGTGATTTCTTATGCTTCGATTATATTGGGATACACACACTGTGTGTCAATTAGTGCTGCTCTTTTACAATAATTGAGATATGTGTTTATGAAGAATTGAAGATGTAAATTAATGTTTGTGTATTGGTCTTTTCATTCCGTGTCTATAGTGCAAGAAACTTCCCGATTGTTAATGGTGAGACATAATTTGAATTCTTGTTACTCATTTTGTGTGATTTTATTTTTGCTAAATGTAATATTTAGTTTTGGGGTGTGGTGTCCACTGGTCATTGATTTTTACATTATCTTCAGCATTTCGTTTCAAGTATTAATTCTTTGACAGATGAGCGTGGCTCGACCATGAACATTATTCATGAACTTTGATGCATGAGGTTTTAAGTGTTGTGCTTAATTGTGTTGATCTAGACTTCACTTTAAGCTGCAACCATGAGGAGTTTCATTATCTTCATCTTCTGACTTTAAATCTTTATGCTTGTGACACATTGTAATTTTAAATAAATGATGTTAGAATGAAGGTACATAGATGAATTGCCCAGCTATGTGCTTTTGGAAGCTAGCATAGTATCCCGTGTTTTAATCTCGCTGAATAATGAATATGTCACGCCCCGAGCTACGGTGTCAGTTGATAATACTATCTGCAGAGTATAGTTATAGTTACTTCATACTTCATATGACTACTGAGTAAAACTGTGTCAAAATTACACGCATCCTCGGCACGCGGGTAATTTGTGGGACTTTTTGAAGTTTATTTATAAAATTTGGAAGTTAACTGATTTTTCTTAATCAGCCTGCTATATTTTAGAAGTGGTCTTTAAGTTGCTAAATACCATTGAATTTGTCCATTCATGGTGTATTATATTATTGTGCAGGCATCGAATCATTTGACATTGATATCGAGAGCCAAAAGGTGACCGTTAAAGGCAATGTGCAGCCTGAAGCAGTTTTTCAGACTGTTTCAAAGACCGGCAAAGCAACTTCCTATTGGGAAGCAGTTGAGCAGCCAGCTGCAGCCGAGCAAACAGCTGCAGCTGAGCCACCATCGGCAGCCGAGCCAACAGCTGCAACTGAGCCACTAGGGGCTGAACTTGAGTTAAAGGGTGCAGCGGCCCACCCGGAATCGAAGCCTGCTGAGACCATCACTGCTGCACACTAAGTAGATTTTCTTCAAGACACATGACATAAATACAATGTAATTTCATCATTTATATATATTGTAAGCACCATATGGAAATAACTTGATATGAATATTTGGCAAGCTTGATGTAATGCGGTTTGACATTTCCAATGGAATTGGAAGATACTTTATATTTAACGATTGGCTATGAAGCAATATAACAAAATTGATGTAAGTGGAGCATATTTTTTAGTGGTCACATTCGGATTCCAGTGTTTTGATTGATCAATTTGGCGCAAAAATGAAGATTAGAGCCGTCAAAGACCATCATTGTCCGCCACCAAAATATGTTTTTTAACTTGTGATTGATTTATATCAAGAATACTTTTGATTTATTTTTTTTTAATTTTTTTATTATTATTATAATTATTATTATTTCTAGAATTGCTTCTCATTTTCCTAACAGTTCACAAGAAATAACAACCACCAAATGATTCTATTATTGCAATTTCAACATAGCCACCCCGTTTTAACACAATAAATCAACTTTACACCATCAAATGAACAAAAAATATGTCATCCGTTAACTCACATTGAAAAATAAATTCAATTACATTTAATTAAGCAGTATAGTCATAAGAGTTACAAACATGGTCGATGCAAAGAATATTTAATTTTTAAAAACAACAAACGAGACAGTCATCCCTTTAAAAAAAAAATCATTTCTTACCAATAAAATTGAAAAAAATAAAAAAATAAAATCTCATTTCCAATTCACATATAAAATTCCCATAAAAATTTGGAGACTCTTTACCATTTTCAAATTAACTAAATTGAATCTGAAAATGAGATAAATAAAAGGTGTAAATTCTACCACATGCCTCTGTTGTTGATATTTAATGAAGCTCGGGTCTTCCACTGCCTTCCATATTCTATCTTATGGATAGAAAATATGATCCTTGCAGCAAAAAGAGATTAATCTAACTCTTTGGTACATAGAATTAAGCAATATTTGGATACTTCAATTTTTCAAATTTGCAATTTTTCCGATTATCCCAGAAGAGTGTTCGAGCGATTTGAGAGGCAAGAAATATTTTTCCTTTTATTATATGTCTTTCAATTTATGGATATAAAAAAACCTGTAATGAAGGGCACAAGCTTTGAGGGAATCTATGGCATAGGCTCGGTTGTGTGTGTGGCCGTTTTGTCCATAGGTTCTTAGAGTTGGTATTTGCTGCGGTTGTTATCTAGCCCACCGTGGGTGGTGCTCCCATTTTCCCGGTTTGTACTTGATACATTTGTATTTTCCCTGTTTATTCTATGAGATTTTCTATCGTTGGAAAAAAAAGGCACTTATCCCATAGAATAGATAAAATTAATTAATAATGATAAGTAATAGAGATATCTGGCCCAATTCATATCTGAGATTGATTATAATAAAAAATGGATCAAAAGTGATAACAATGCCAACATAATGGTATTATTTGATGTAGTCTCAAATTAATGGACTAAAAGAGGAATTTGACCAATATAATGAACCTAATAAGCAATTTTGCCTGACATTTTACAATCAATATACACGGAGATACAATTTTTCTATGGAGCCATCGAATGGCTCGGCTTATGAAACCATCCACAGTTATCCTCAAATAGTGTATTGACACGTGTCCTACAATAAATACACTTTTGACATGTATCAATACATTAAATGATAAATGACTCCATAAGAAAACCATCTGATGGCTCCATAGAACTTTTGCACGGAGATATTCGTCTTTTAGAAAAGAAGGATTTGTCTGATTTGAATGGTAGAGAAGAGATAATTTGGCATATTAGAGTTCCTTTGTTTGCCTCCAACAAATCTGATTTGGGCTATTTGTACGGGTTTCCATGTCATTTACATGTCGGATAAAATTTTACACATTAGATTTTAATTCCAAGTAATAAACTTTTGGTCGGTTTATTTTTTAAATTCAAACTTATTGGATTACCCGGTCCCACGGGAACAACATAGCTAGGAATGAAGTAACTCTTTTAAAAGGCTTTCAGATGCTCGACTATAAATCCGAGGTCAATGTAATCTTTAGAAGCAAAATAAAGTCATAAAGGAAATACATCGATTTCTAAGTTTTTTCACTCGCCCATGTCCAGGATTCAACATTCTTGGGAGTCACCACTTAACTCGGGCTAAGAAGTAAGGATAAAATTGGTGTATCATTATGTAAAGAAATCACAGACCATGATATTATGCGCCAAAGTGAAAAAAAATCATGATGTTTTTGCAAATTAAAAACAAAAATCATGATATGCCTTAATTTTTTGCTGATAAGTTTTAAGGGAGGATTGTCATTAGTATTCTCAATGCATTGAACCCAAGAGTTATGTTTAAATGCATGCAAGCGAATAGTCATTTTCAAAATTAGATAAATTTCAGATAAATATCGTTCAAAACAACTTAATTATAAAATTAATATATATCTTACGCGGGAAAAACAACTCCTCCGACTCTACTTTAATATATATATAATATATTACTTGACATTTTTTTCATATCAATTTGTAAAATTTTTATCTTTTGTTTGATAATATTTTTCATATGAAATTGGATGTATTTTTTGCAAATTTGTGAATAATATTAAAAAAAATGGTAATAGTTTATGTGAAAAGAGAGTATTAAGGGGAGATGCTACGGTCCCGTTATGGAAATATTTCGTCGGGGTTTGTAACAGTTAGATCATTATATAACAATCGGAGATAGATGATCTAACGATTACAAACCACGATTGAATGATTTCGTAATCGGACCCTAGCATTTCCCAAATATTAAGATTATTTAATAATGAGTTGCATAACGTGGAGCACGCGCCCATCACCTCCGTACAAACGAAACAAAGTCATCGAAAGAATACGAAAGAACAACACAAAAACACTCGTCAAGCTCAAGCCCTATCGTCTACCTTTCCATTCCCGTCTCTCTCCTCTCCTCCCGACCTTCATCCATGGTTCCCAGCTTTCAACTAATCAGATGATTTAGATGGGTTTGGGCTCAGTTATCGATTTGGGGGACTCTATGTTTTCTCGAATTTCAGCTGCTTTTGGTGATGACCTGTTCTAGAACCAAAGCTGCAGACTCGCTGTGCATGATCGAATAACGGAATAAGGTTTGTTTGAGGCAAATATGGAAGGGTCTGCACCGACGCCTTCAACGGCTTCGGCTGTCCTGATTCGTGGGAGGAGGTCATGCGCCGCCTCATGAAGGATTCATTTACCAGCAGTAATAAGCAAGACGAGGTATCCGAGGTCTCCGGTTCGGGTTCTGTGCCGGACTCGATTTCAAATTTGGATTTGGGCATGTCGGAAGATCTGATTAGCACAGTGGATCAGTTTCTGCGGGAAGCTATACAGAATCCTCGGGAGCGCTTATCTGGTGAGTGTTTCTTCCTCGTATTAATCGTATCATTTTCACTAGTTATGCTATCACTGAGAGTTGAACTATTGGCTCAACATGATTTATTTGGTTACTGAATTTATTTGTGGCTTCTACCTTTGCTGATTTTTCTCGATGCGGCGTCCAATTTGAACTTTCTAGTAATTGTAGATGAGTTATTTGTATGTGGACTGGTTGCGAAACTGATGCTGTAGATGAAGAGGTAATTGTCATTGGAGAAGACATTTAGCCATTACTATATATGTAACTTTGAAATTTTAAGTTAATTGGGACGTTCAATGCTGAATCAGCTGCAGTGTTCAACGTAGAATCTGAAGCCTGAACAGGAAAGTGCTCACTTGAGTATTGATATTGGTAGTTCTCATCTTATGGGTTTAATCTTACTTGGACTTTTTCAATTTGTTTCCAAGATGATTTGTATCAGTAGACCTAAGGATGTCCTCTCTGCTTCTCTTGTGATTACGGATATCCTCAAATACCATGACTAGACCCTTTTTCTTCTTTTGGTCTTTGAGATTCTGATATTGCGTGTCTGTTCAGTGCTAAGAATGGAGCAGGATGTGGAGAAGTTCATTCAGGATCCTACTAGCGAACAGATGGAGTTTCAACAGCTTCCTACTTCTTACCTGCGCCTGGCTGCACATCGTGTGGCACAGCACTACTCTTTGCAATCCATGGTTTTATTGGATAATAACCTGCCCGATGGGTCTGGTTCTCGGATAATTGTTCGAAAGTCGTCAAACATTCGGATTCCTATGGTTCGTCTTGCCGACATTCCTGTTAATTTACCTACTGAAGAGAATAGTGCTGTAAAGCTTGCAATCAAGCAGAGGCCCCAAAAGGCGTCTCACAGTTATAGAAATTCAAATGCAAAACCTGCAAAATCAAACAGTTCCAAAAGTGTGGAGGAAAGGACGGCGGAATACAATAGGGCTCGAGCAAGGATTTTCAGTTCCAACAGTTCTACTGGGAGTACCAGTGGGAAATCTGTAAGTGATCCTAGGAATCAGGATAGTGTTCGGCAAGGTTCATTAGGAATAACAAAGGCAGAAGAGAGAATATCTCCAAGTGGTGGATCTACTGTTGTCATAGGAAGAAGTTTCTCTGATTCTGCTACATCTAGCACTAAGTTATCTAGAAGTAGGATAGATATGGAGCCTGTTACTAGACCGAAGACAAATAGTAGGGTCGCTATCTTTCGGGATCGTGAAGTTGATCGTAAAGATCCTGACTACGACATAAACTATGACAGGTATACTTCACTCGCGTTCTCTCCATTTTTTTGTTTTTTATTTTTTCATTTCAAATCCATGGAACTCTTTTTCTTTACTCGTGTTTAAATATTTTGCTCTGCTTCAATATATCGTCCTTTTATTTGCATTTTTAGCATGAATATATATCAAGTTGATTGGTTGTAAGGATTTTCCCAGTTTTCCCCTTTCCTCTTGGGTCCAACCTCATGAGGAATAGTTTACGAGCTTGTTTTTTCGCTTTAACTAAGCATGATTGAATTGACAACAGAAAACAATATTTTTTAATATCAGATACATGCAGAGGTTTGATCCTGGCTTCGGATTTAGTGGAGGTGTATACCCTATTCAGCCCATGTATGCACCTGCAATAAACTACAACACTGAATTCCCACAGCTTGGATCAAGTCATAGGCCGCCTATTTCCTCAGAACACCAACCTCGGCCTCTTCCTCAACATCTGCCTGGACCATGGGTTGCTCCCTCCTCTCCTGGTGGTATTGGTTATGGTCCAACTGAAGCCATGTCTCCATTTAATACTGGTCATGGTGGTCCACACTCAAACTTCAGTCTCTACATCCACTCTGCTCAGTTTCTTTGTCAAACAACCGGATTACCATTTATACCTACTTTTGAACCAATCCACCAACCCTTTTCACAGGTATCATATGCAACATGCATTTTATAGTTCAATATGATGACACAATAAAGATGATGATTAATGAATCACTATTCCCCCCATAGCGTAATAATCGTAATCATCAGATATAAATGTTGTCAAGTGCGAGCATGTTTTGCATTGGTGTAGCTTACAGAGTTAAAGATTATGTTGTCTTGTATGTCCTTTTCAATTTTTGATTTTGGGGTAGTTTACGATGTTAAAGATTGTGTGGTTGTGTATGTCCTTTTCAATTGCTTAATACAGTTCGTGACACATGTTGCAATAAAAGTTTCTATTTTCCTTGTGTTACTGCTGGTTAAGCCAATCATTTTGTTACCTTCATTTTATTCTATTCTACATTGCATTTCAAGATAAAAATGTCGCTGTATTTGTAGGTTTGTTAACATGATAATGCTTTAATGATAAACCTGAAGATTTGCTTAATGCACAAAAGTTCTTGTGTATACTTGGGCATTCACTGAAAGTTAACAGGGCTTAATATTACAATGATTTAGGTCTAGTTTTATACTAACTTTGCTTGGAGATATATGGAGTCATCAATGGAAGGTCACCACCTTTCACGAGAAAACATGTTATCTCTTCTTTGCTAGTTTCCGGAATTTATATGCTTGGTTTTTGTTAAGGTGATTTCCAAGACTGGCAGTAATAATCCTGTCTATTGGCTGCATTCGCACAATGCTAACTTTTTCATGACAAGGAAACTTGATACTTATCATTTTATTTAATTATGTATTATGTATATCATGATAGAGCTCAATGTTTTGGGGAGTTATTTGCTGTTACTCTGGATTGATCATCCACTTTCATCCTTTTTAGCTCTTTCTTTTTTTAATCTCATCAGCAGCAACCTGATGCAAGTTTTGGACTAGCCCGGGCCAGATGAGGGGCTGGGGCAGTGCCTGCACCCTGGCATGAGGCTTGGTCATAGTAGTGGAGACTGCAGATTATTTTTTTGGTCCCATTGGCAAATATTTGCACAGCAATGATCCTGATTTTTTTAGGAACTAATGCAAATAGGAGGACTCTTTCATACGCTAGGATTGCCCGATATTCATATTTTGGGGCCTTTTGTAAGTGTACTTTTTGAGTTTTTCACTGCCGAAACTTCCATGTTTACCATTAATGGGCACGTAATGGGTATAACATTCGAAGATGTGCTATACCTTTTACGTTTACCCATTAATGGTGAGCTTGTCCCTGTGGGAGAGAATTCTCATTTAAGTTACATAAAAATTTTCGGGAGGACCCAAAAAAGGTCAAGATATCCAACTTGAACCGTATTACCTACAATTCTAACGAGAATAAGGAAAGGAGGATGATAGCTCTGTTGCTCATCATTATTTGACATTTTGTCTTGCCAACTAAAAATGGTGATGACATCTATCCTAGTCTTGCCTCACTCTTAGAAAACCCCTACAACACTTTTTCAATTCATGCTTGGAGGCTGTTGTTCTTGCTTTCCTTCATGGTAGAAAAAAGAAAAATAAGGAGGGTGGCAACTTATGACTAGTCTTGGTAAGTAGTAGTATTATTTTGCATTGTTACCATTATATATAACTTCTAAACTATTATTTTGTGTGTGCAAGCTTTTTTTCTCGTCCGGATTCCAAAATTATGGACGATCCTAGGGGTTGAGATTACAAGGGAGGAGCTTGCTCGAGTAAATTATCTACTGAAATGGATAATGACTCGTTTGGAGAAAGTATCAAAGAATACAAGGGTCAATTACAAGGTGGCTCTGAGGAATGCTTTTGAAAGCGTTGAGGATGAGATATTGAAGTTAATTTACAGTCTTTTCTATCAATAAATTGAAGTTATTATATTATAGTATATGTTTAGAATTAATTTAATTTATCTATTTTTTGAAAGGATATTCATTGGAGGCCATACATGATGTGGGAATTACCCGGTGACCTCTAGTCCAATATCTAGTCCAATATCGATTGGGTTAGACGGGTCAGTCCCATTTTTGTCAACAAATATCTGGTGCATCATGCACCACATTTGCTTGCAAGACAATTTGGTTTGGCAAACAATGTCAAATATACACTGTATCACATCGGAATGAAGGATAATCGGGGATCAAAATCCCACAATTGGACTAAAAAATATGAAGTTCATATCGCGAAGTGGATGAACCCATTATTTTTGAGAGATCCACCAGCAGTCCACATTCCACATAGTTAAAAGCACGATTATAGTCTTTGAGCCTTCATTTATTTATATTTTTATAAAATAATTCATATTATTATTTTAATTGAACTCAGAGACCACCCCAGAGAAGCTCCCTTCCCTCATATCCAATATGATACAGCAGGTTGTGAGTGGCAATTTTTTCAATAGTCTAATTATTATTATTAATATTATTTGACTTTTTTTTCATTTTGATTCAGAGACTTCCCCCAGTAGAGAAGATATCCAGCATTCCCCTTGCAGTAGAGAAGATATCAAGGGGAGTGCTGGATATCTTCTCTACTGGGGGAGGTCTCTGAATCAAAATGACAAAAATAAGTCAAATAATATTAATAATAATAATTAGATTATTTAAAAAATTGTCACTCACAACCTGCTGTATCATCTTGGATATGAGGGAGGGGATCTTCTCTGGAGTGGTCTCTGAGTTCAATTAAAATAATAATATGGACTATTTTATAAAAAAATAAATAAATGAGGGCTTAAAAACTATAATCGTGCTTTTACCTCTGTGGACTGCGGGTGGATCTCCCAAAAATAATGGGTTCATCCACTTCGCGATATAAACTTCATATTTTTTATTCCAATTGTGGGATTTTGATCCCCGATTATCCTTCATTCCGATGTGATACAGTGTATATTTGACGTTGTTTGCCAAACCCAATTGTTTTGCAAGCAAATGTGGTGCATGATGCACTACATAGTTGTTGGCAAAAATGGGACTGACCCGTCTAACCCAATCGATATTAGACTGGACGTCACCGGGTAATTCCCACGTCATGTACAACCTCCAATGAATATCTTGTCAAAAAAGACATAAATTAAATTAATTCTAAACATATACTATAATATAATAACTTCAGTTTATTGATAGAAAAGACTGTAAATTAACTTCAATACCTTATCCTCAAGGCTTTCAAGAGCATTTCTCAGAGCCACCTTGTAATTGACCCTTGTATTCTTTGATACTTTCTCCAAACGAGTCATTATCCATTTCAATGGATAATCCACTCGAGCAAGCTCCTCCCTTGTAATCTCAACCCCTAGGATCGTCCATAATTTTGGAATCCGGACGAGAAAAAAAGTCTGCACACACAAAATAGTAGTTTCGAAGTTATATATAATGGTAACAATGCAAAATAATAATACTATTTACCAAGACTAGCCATAAGTTGCCACCTTTCTTATTTTTTTTTCTACCATGAAAGAAAGCAAGAACAACAGCCCCCAAGCATGAATTGAAGAAGTGTTGTAGGGGTTTTCTAAGAGTGAGGCAAGACTAGGGTAGATGTCATCACCATTTTTAGTTGGCAAGACAAAATGCCAAATAATGATGAGCAACAGAGTTATCATCCTCTTTTCCTTATTCTCGTTAGAATTGTAGATAATACGGTCAAGTTGGATATCTTGACCTTTTTTGGTCCTCCCGAAAAATTTTTATGTAACTTAAATGAGAATTCTCTCCCACAAGGACAAGCTCACCATTAATGGGCAAACGTAAAAGGTACAGCACATCTTCGAGTGTTATACCCATCACGTGCCTGTTAATGGTAAACATAGAAGTTTCGGCAGTGAAAAACTCAAAAAGTACACTTACAAAAGACCCCAAAATATGAATATCGGGCAATCCTAGCGTATGAAAGAGTCCTTCTATTTGCATTAGTTCCTGAAATGATTACAGGAAGAAGAAAATCTTGGAGCTTTGAACTCATTTTCCAGTTTTAGGCATAGGTATCTTTCACATCTTATCTACCTTTGTTTTTCTTTTCTCCGTTTTGTGTATATTTTTTTTTAATATGCTCACTCTGTCCCAGAAAGATAGACCACATTTCTGTGTATGACTCCCCGAAAAGAGTCATATTGCCATAAACATAGTGTGACAATCTGTGCAATAGAGTCAATTTATTTGACAACCAATGATATATAGCAATATTTAATTTCCAAACAATGATTGTGTTTTGTTAGAATGTGGAAATTGTCTTAAGCCTATCTTTAAAGGACAGAGTGTGTTTTGTTTGTTGAATATGAGTTCATTGAGTTATATATAGAAGTAAACTCACACAGGTGCACATGTAAATTATTATTATTATTATTATTATTATTATTGTTATTATTATTATTGTTTTTATTTTTATTGTTATTATTTGTTGCAGCTCCAGTGGACGAGGCATAAAGATGAATGGAAGATATATCGACGAGTGGGTGCTATCTGTACCGGCCCAAGGGCAATTGGTGCTTGGTTGACTGTGATCTGATTTGGGCTCTCATTCTGTCCTTTTAAAGTGTGTTTTATCCTTTGTGTTTATCGAAGTTAATTACGTGAACCTTCACTCTTACCGTATGATGATTGCTGTTAAATTATTATCATGTTATAAGTTCTCTCAAGCATTTTGCCATGCTGTTTGTTGGAATGAAAGGCCAAAAGTATGCAATTCCAATTTTCCTAACAGAGAAGGTGATGAAAAATGTTTTTTTTTGGGACTCCAAATGCTAGTTAAAAAATCATGGCAGCTTGTGATCCATGTTTTATTGAATAATATCGGAAGAAGCGGCACATAAAGTGGAATTGAATGGACTTGATGTGCTTTTGAAATGGAAAAAGAGAGGAATGAAAATTTCAATTATGTTTATAAACATATGATGATGGTGTTTTCTTAAGGTACTTCTGGTCTGATTGTGCATAAGAAAATTCGTATGCTTTGTTTGGAAGTGCAGTGGTATTCAACACTACTTATAACACGATTAAGTACAGAATGGTGTTTACTCCTTTTGTTGGTGTCAATCATCATAGGCAGATCACTGTTATTGGTTGTGGATTACTCAACGATGAAAAGACGGAGTCTTTTATTTGGTTATTTTTCAAATTTTTAGATGCAATGATAAACCAACCACACCCAAAAATCATTATCAATGACTAAAACCCTACTATATCACTTGTTGTGGCTGAGGTATCATTATCAGTAACAAATTTTTTGAAAAAAACTTGGTCCTGTTATGTATAATTTGCACCATCCTAGTTTATATGAGATTATTAATGACCCCGAGACTCCTAATGAATATGAGACTAGGTGGAATTCATCGATGAGTAACTCAATTGAGCTCTAATGAGTGGTTGTAAAAAATTTATGATATCCGTAGTCGTTGGGTTCCAGCATATATGAAGGGTGCTTTTTTCTACTTTTTTTCTGCAGGCATGTCTAGTAGCCAACGAGTTGAAAGTAATCATGCATTTTTTAAGCGATATCTTGACAAGAAATGCTTATTGAATGACTACTTCACTCTTTAGTAGGGTTGTTGAGCATCGGAGGCATGAAGAATAAATGGCTACTCATGTTGATCTTAATGAGAAGCCAAGGGTCACACCTCATTTGCAATGGAGAAACAGATGGCTGAGGTCTAACCAAAACGATACTTTTTATTATTCCAAAAAGAGTTAGAAAGAAGTGCATTCTATAAATGTACAATAGTCTCGAATCCCATCGTTTGCAGAGTTTATGAAGTTTGGCGGTTTGATATTGAAATGACTACTCAACGCCGGCGCCAATTGACATATGATGTTTCAAAGGATTTTATAACTTGCAGCTGCAAACATTTTGAGTTTGAAGGATATCTTTGTCAGCACATGCTATGTTGGATATGAGTTGAACAAGTGATGTTACTACCAGAAAGGTATGTAAAGAAAGGTGGACGAAAAATGCAAAGAGCTTTCTTTATGACACACCACGTGACTTTGTAGAAAGTAAGTCTTTACAGGTAGGCGTGGCCGTTGATGCACGTGACACGAGAGCTTATTGCGTCGTTGGATGATGCACGAAGCAGATTTTTTGTGGAAAAACTCAAAATTTTGTGAGTAGAAGCCAGAATACATACGAGATGTTACTCATATGTGACCCCGAGCCTGTTCGTACTAAAGGTTGTGGCAAGCGTCTAAAGTCATGTAAAGAGAAAGCCATTCAACGACAGATATACAGACTATATACTCGTCGTAGCTTTCACGAAATTCGTCGTCGAGCTCAATCTCCTCGATGTCAATTTCCTCGTCTTTAACGAAATCAGAGTCTCCGTCTCTCGATGATTTATTCCGCTGTGGAGGCTTCTTTGTCGAAGGGTTTTATGGACGTCACCGGAAGTTTTTGGAGCGGGCTTTTCTTCGCTACCCTTCTTACGAGCCTTTTTTGAATTACTGGTCTTTGATTTGTTGTTGAATTCGAACTTTTTTTGGACAAGTTTCCGATCAGCATTGGGTTTTACTACCGGGAGCCAAAAACTAGGCCCCATTTCTGGTGGGTTCCCGCCGTCGTCGCCGAGTGGACTGTTGCCGACAATGTAGGTGGTATCGACGTAGGCCATTTTTTTTGTGTTTTTAGAGAGGATTAAACAAATATTCTTGTTGAAGAAAAAATGAATGAAGATGAAGATTGAAAAGTAAAGTAAGCCTAATGATGGATGTGGCTGATAGAGTTAGTGGGTGATAGGAGGTTACAAATCCCAAAAAATCAGTAACACTTGCCATTAAAAAAACTCTAACTTCTTAAATCATGCTTAGAAAACGGTTGGGCATAAATTAGGTGCTAATCTCGTAAAATGTGCAAATAATTTTGACAGAATTAAATTAGATGCAAATAAGATGTTTTAGTATATGTACAATATTTCTTCCCTTTGTTAGTACTTAAGAGTATTTTCTCATTATCTCATTACACAACATTGTCGGATACAATATAGATATATATCGTCGACTACGTGTAACATCTACAACTCTTGCGGGGAGGATCATAAGGCCCATCCCATTAAGTGAGTCTCCCTCCTGATATTTTTGCACATCTTGAAATACATATGATCTTCCAAACCATACCGAGAATTAGTTGCATATTTGCTCAGTGTTTAGATAGTAAAAACAAAAGTCGAAAACATTGATACGATAGCAGCCCGCTCTACAGTAACCAAATCTTATTATAGTAGTGGTGTTTCAATGTCTTCCCTGTGATCTAACTTTAGCATCCATGCGAAGCACAGTGAGATAACCTAAATGAATAATAAAAAGTGTGATCACAACACTTGTATTAATTTAAAATATTACAAGTCCTTAAATTCAAGAAAGAATCAAACTACAATGAGGTGCCATGTAATTTGATACTTCCCTGGTTTTCAAAATACCCCAAACCTCATGGGTAGTTCTTAAAATCATCACCAAAAGGAATAGTTATATGTCAAATGATGAGTTAGTCCCCGACATTTGCTTCTATTTAGCGAATTACACTTCCTAAGGATGATATTTGTGTCAATTATTTATCTCAAGAGTTGTCCTACTAAGAGTTGAGGTTAGTCAAGCTTACCATGCTTAGAGATGCAAATATGATGCTGAAACCTTTACAGTTGAACGGTGCATTGCTGGACAAAAACCATGCTGGAGCGAGAACAAAGCAAAAAAATGGATCATCAAAAAAGTGTTAACATTGTTGAACCCAAGAAAAAGAATTTGATATAGAAACAGAAAAACCGACTCACTTGTGAGAGGACTCATTGCAAGTGGTGAAAGCAGACTTGCAACCGATTGAATACCAGCAACAAAGCCTTGTGCTTTCCCCTAATTGAAGAAAAGCAAAACAAAAATAGGAGATTTCAGATAATGAAGAAAAGAACCAGAATCTCAAACCAAACTATCTTCTATTTTCTTTCATATATATACTAGTACGTGGTCCGTGCGATGCACGAGAAAATAATAATACATTGTGTTATAAATTAAATATATAAATAACATTAATCACCATTTCGTCATTATAACGTTAGTACTTTATTTATTGGAAATGTATTATAATGGATTAACGTATTATTAATATTGAAATCCATATTTTGTTTCAATAGTCGATTTGATCTTGTCAAATTGACTCATAACTTTGTCACCCGGGATGCAAGATTCTTATAATTGGTCTTAAATTGGTCCAATAACATATGCAATAACCTAATTCAATCAGCCCATTGATAAAAAAAAAATGTTAAATATTACTAATTTGATGAAATAAAAAAAAAGCATGAAAAATAATGTATAATTCATATAGTAAATGTTTATAATAAATGACAATATATTATGACTCCAAATTATAGAATTAAAGACAAATTAGTTATTTTTTACTTTATACATATTTATAAAATAATAAATGTAATAATTTTAAAAAATTCAAAATTAACTAAATGATTACGTAATTGACACGATGACTCGATACCAACATGAGTCAGAACCGAGCAGAGATATTATGCATTATTTAATAATTTTTTGTTATTCATAAGTTATCTATATATATATAATTGCTAGCTAATCATTAAATAAAACCTCATAAATAAAACCTAATCAATAAAACCTCATTTATTTTCCCTCCAAAAGAAGTTACAAAATTTGCCATTCATATTTTGCCTTTCACATAAATACACCCTATTAAGTGTAATCATGTAAATATAATAGCAAAAAAATAGCATTAACTACTATAATAATAATAATAATAATAATAATAATAATAATAATAATAATAATAATAATAATAATAATAATAATAATATCTTGAAACAATAAAATTGTTTATACTTATGTAATTTATATTTAGTGTGAAATAGTATGAGTTGGTAATAGCATTAACTATTATATAATATAATAGCAAAAAAATACATGATTACACTTAATAGGGTGTATTAATGTGAAAGGCAAAAATGAATGACAAATTTTGTAACTTCTTTTGGAGGGAAAATAAATGAGGTTTTATGAATGAGGTTTTATAAATACATGATTACACTTAATTAGGTTTTATGAATGATATTATTATTATTATTATTATTATTATTATTATTATTATTATTATTATTTTAATTTTGTATTTCATGAAACAATTTTTTTTAGAAACAATTAGTAAATAGTTTTAATAGTATAGTAAAAAAAACTTTAAAATCTTATAAACAATTGTCGTTGTAATAAGAATAGTAATAATAATAATTATTATTATTATAATAATAATAATAATAAAGTTTTCAAGTAAATTATTTGACCATGATCCCTCCAAATTATATTAAAATTACATCACCCACAATTTTTTAATCAATATAGTGATTCATATGTACTCAAATAATTTATATAAATATTATTTTATTTTTACTAATGATTAAATCTTTAAAATATGGTATGTCCATTATCTAAAATTTTAATATTAAATTCACATATCTAGAAAATGTGATATGTTTATCATCTATAATTTTAATATTAAATTCACACATATTACTTATAATATTTTATGTATATCTGTGCATGTGCACAGGATGATAACTAGTATATATAATTGCTAGCTAATCATTAAATAAAACCTCATAAATAAAACCTATTTAATTTTACCTAATAAATTATACCTAATAAATACTACAACCTTCCATATACAATGAAGGTTACTTTTACAATTATGGATTATTATTGTACATTTATGATTATACATTGTAACGTTTCATTCTTTTAAATGATATTTTCATCTTTTTTATTTTATTTTATGACATCTAATAAAAACTAATTTAAAATTTAAAATAATCTATATATAATTAGGAATTATCACATCAATAAAAATTTGCATATTCCACTCTTTTTTTTTTTTATACATAGTAGTTTGGTTTTTATACTGAATATGTAAGCATACTAATGTTGAAATTAATTGTTACGATTTTATCCGCTCATTTAATAATTCTAACTTTTATTCTATATATTTAAAATAAAACAATCGTTCTTATAAAAGACAATTTAGTGTTGCATAAGAACGTGTTTAATTTTTAAATAAATACATTCGTTTAAATAAAATTCATAGCCTCGAATAGTAGTAAAATGATAATAATAATAATAATAATATTTAATGTATTTTATATAAATAGCATTCCAGTTATGATTATATTTATGTTCCTATATATATAACTATTCACAAAGAATTTATTGCAAAAATAAAATCAACACATTTTATTTAACTAATTGTAAAAAGAAGCTGTTATAATTTTCATTCATTAATTAAATTATATACTTTATAATTACATAATAACTAATAATAACTAAAGGATATAAGAAATTTTATACATATAAAAAAAATATTTAGATTTTTTAAGATACTTATTTAAAATAATAATTATTTTTTAACTCATTAATATTTTTTTAATAAAAATAGTTAATTACTTTTTATGACATAACCAAATCATTTTTTATCTAATTAATTGGTCATAATCACTATTATTTTCTACAATTATCATTATAGTGATTTATATGTTGGTTAGATAGTTTATACTTATATCATTTATATTTACAAACTATAAAATTCAACAATATGATATACTCATTATTTATCTTAAATTTTAAATAGTATATAAATGAAGAATCATGCAATCCATCAATTAAAATGGCGGGACAATATTAGAGTCAGTCAAAAAAAGAAATTAAAATCAATCAATTATTCTTTAAAACTGAGCAATCACTTGACAATTAAATTATACAATCAATGACCATTTTTTAAACCTTTATAAATAGATGAAAAAATAAGAACCAAAATCACATTCAGCAAAAAATACAACTCAACAGGAAAAAAAATTCTGCCACATTCTCATTTCAAATGGCTTCTATGTTTGATAATATTGAGGTTGATTCGCCATTATTCAACAAGATCTTTGTAAAATGAAAATAAAAAGAAAAAATATCAAAATGGCGGATTGGAGTACGTATTTCACGATGTCAAGGCATAAAAATCTTTTTAGTCTTTTTTAACACATACTATTTCAATATCGATTTTTTATAATATTATTTTTTTATCGTGTAGGGTCAGTGAATTCACGCTTCAGGCCCCGGTTGCTTCGCTGAAAAATTTTAAGAAGTTTAAAATCAGTGAGGGTCGTATTTATGCCATAGAAAATTTTAAGGCGTTTCCAGACCAAAATTATTTTTCATAGAAAATTTATACAACAAAAATTATCCCAAAACTTTATCCACGAAATAATACAAAAAGCATACAAATATATTAAACCTTTGAGCAAACAATTCGCATCTAGATCAATAGCTTCCCCGTTGATAAATTAAAAGTATAACTACGACAGCTAAACAAAATAGGAATCGATCCGAGTGTTTGTGTAGATGAGAGGAAAAAAAAATTAAAAGTGAAGAAGAAACGACGAAAATGTTGCACGTGGTAGGGTTTCATGCATCAAATACCTGCTTCTACCACCTTCTTAAATGTTCTATATATGTATGGTGGATGAAACTTTGGCCGTGCTATATGGGTCCAACATCCTTCATCAGTGCATCAAACTTCGTCTTAAAGACACGACAAATTATATCTAGACGGTCCTCAGGGTTGAGGTTCCTTTTAGAAAGGAATCGACTGATTTCAGGCCACTTGGGGTTAAGGTTGTAAACAAATCAAACATTTTTGATTTGATTCGTGATTCGAATTCGATATTCGAGATTCGAATTCGAAATATTCGAATTCGAATTCGAATTCGAATGATGTTTTAGATTCGAAATTATAACGAATTCGAATTCGAATGTGTAGATATTCGATTCGAAATTCGAATATTCGATTCGTTAACAATAATTATATAAATTTTACAAATTATACATAATATACATTTTGTTTATAATATATGTATATATATAAATTGTTATATTCCTAATATTTTTATGACATAAAAAGTAAAAACATCATAAATTAACAAATTTTTCTAAAAATATATGAAAAATAAAATTTATTTTTGTAATTATAATATTTTTGTAATTATAATATTTTTATACAAATTATATATAATATACATTTTGTTTATAATATATGTATATATATATATATTGTTATATTCCTAATATTTTTATGACATAAAAAGTAAAAACATCATAAATTGACAAAATTTTCTAAAAATATATTGAAAATAAAATTTATTTTGTAATTATAGTATTTTTTAATTATAATATTTTTTTGAAAACGAATTTCGAATCGAATCGAATATGTTCGAATATTCTAAACGAATCGAATACGAATCAAAAAATGAATTCGTTATCGAATCGAATCACGAATCGAATCTTCGAATATTTTAAACGAATCGAATCGAATCTCTGAGTATTCGCTTTGATTCGATTCGTTTACAACCCTACTTGGGGTTGCAAGTGATAGTTATGAAGATATCAGCATAACCGTTAACGACAAATGGTAATCGCATCCAACGACAAAGGGTGCACTTCAATTGGCAACCAATAAAATTCTTATCCATCATTTATATTTACTTTGATTAGTGTACAATTCGATTGATATGTTTTTGTTCTCCGAATTTTGAGATCAACATATACTCGATTAGTTATTACTAAGCTCAACAGCCATGTATTCGAATGCAAAATATGAACCAGTGCCAGAGCTGGTGATAAAGTTCTTATTCGTAGGCTCAAAATCATACCATTCAGCGCTGACAGTTTCTGCTCATGGTTTCCTATGTTATGACAATCAATAAGAGTCAAGGACAATACTGTCGCACATCAGCTTACTACTGAAGAGCCCTATATTTAGCCATGAACAATTGTACGTGGCACTTTCTAGAGTTACGAGCCGAAGGGGTTTGAAGATAATGATTTGTGGTGATGGAGATTCTGACGATTAATAAACCACGAATGTTGCACATAAAGAAGTATTTAATAATATTTAAATTTTTTTAAAAACTTTTTTTTCGATGATTATGTTATGATTTTTACTATTGTTTATAATTTTTTTATAATTTTATTCATTATCATATAGTTTTCTGTGCAAATGCACAGGTAACAACTAGTTAAATATCATAATTGGATGGTGTTGTAACGAATAAAATGCATTAAGATAAATTATATGCTCATTTTATACATTCAAATAAAATTAAGTATAACAATATATATAAGTATACAAATTGATTGTAATTATCATTATATATTGTAAAAATCTTTTGTCATTAAAATTAAGTAATCTTGAAATAACATTATATATATATAAAAATATTTTTAAAAGTATTGATATTACATCACTAAAAATAAAAATACAAATAGATTAGCTAGAATAAAAAAAAAAAAAATGATTTAAAGCTTTTGAAAATATTAATTGGTAGATTTAGATCAATTATTGATATCATATTACCTAAAATAAAAAATAAAAAGTCTCACGGTAAAGATAAAATTACCAAAAGCAAATAAAAAATAATATTTCAAAAACTTTCCTTATTTAGTAATCAACAAATTTTCTTTTTTTTTTTGTGGGAAACAGTTACTATTACAAGTAAGTCTGCCATTAAATAACGGGAAACAATTATTGTTACAGGTAAGTGTGCCATTAAATAACCTGATCTGACGAGTTTGATCCTTTGGATATAACTGCATAAGTCTGCCATTAAATATAAAATAGTGAATTCGATGATTGCATAAAGGAAAGAAGGCGAAACAGGTTTGAGAGCAAATGACTTACGGAAGGTTTGACAAGGATATAAATGACTCCAAATGATGCGCTCAAATAAGGCACCTGTGCTAGCATATATTAGTAGTCAATATGTATCAGTAAAAACTAAATCACATGGCCACAAGTTGATAGAGCTGTTCATATCTATGCCAACAACATAAGAAATGGGAAATGGGGAATCAACTAGAAATTCTAGGATAACTTGTCTCATAAAGATAAGAAATTGTTAAGAAATCACAAAAGAGGAATAAGTTCCTCCAAGTGAGAACTCAAAAAAAAAAAA